TAAGCGTCTGTGTCTTTCAATTTCTTTGATAAAATGCTGAATGTAGCGTCCATGTCTGTATGGGTATGTCCCACCAGCACGAAACCTATTTCTATCTCTTGGAAAACTTTTAACTTAACCAAGATTGCAGCTAGTGCACGTATGTACTTGTTCTTGTTTTCCCACCAACAATTATCTGCTTGAATACGCAAAAACGGTGGCAGTGGTGTCCCGCTCCCGTGAATTTCGACAAGGGTTCTCATGAGACAAGTAGTGACTGTATTCGAATCGTGTTTGAAATACAGAAACCACGTATACACATAAATACTCGGGTCTCTACCATGTGCAATGACACCTGTCAGATTCGTCTTCATCATCATCTCGTGCCTAAGTGCTTTCGAGTAGTTCGCTTGGCCAATATGGGGGATAGTCGTCTTTTTTTTATCCATGCCGTCAATGATGAGACACAAACGGTCGTTCAGGCGGACCATGCAATCAGTCTTTGCCCGACTGTAGTCCAGTCTGTGTTCAACTTGCCGCCTTTGGTGAACTTTCATCTCTTCCTCTGCTCGTTCGCGAGCTCGAGGAAGAGCAGCGTAGTGTACACGTTCTTTCAGTACATGACAGGCGGCACACTTTGTGAATTTGTTTGAGTGTACGAGTGAAACATGAAAAAAGTGTGTTTGCCACAATTTATAAAAGTTTGACTCAGACACGACTTCGAGGCCGACAGCCACGAAGTCTGATTTGATGGACTCATAAATGGAACGCTTTGTAAAAGCAGCTGGCAGTCGAAGTTTTGGTCTGTAAACGTCGTTTTGATGGGTCACCTCATTTGGCATGCTATCGGCGTGACTGTCTATGAATGTTTTCATGCTGGCAAGCATGGCGACCGTCTTATCTTTCGGTTTTTGTCTACCCGTAAGTCCGTGCTCGCAACGCACAATGTGACGTTCCAACTCTACAGGACGGACACGTTTCTGTCCACCTTCATTCAACGTGAAATCTTTAAGGCTTTTCATCCACCACTCTGCTCGCTGTTCAGGACTTTTACTGTAAAATCCTTGCATAACCTTTCGGACTTCCTCTGGCGACACGTTGTAACAACAGTGAGCCTTGCAACATGCCATGCCGCGTACCATTAGCAGTTTCTTTTCGGACAACATGTTTTTCGCTCTTTTCAAGTCTTTTGTACTGCTCTACATTTCTAGCATTCCTATTCGCCATGCTATACGGCAGTGCCGTACCCCTGTTCACCGTTCACGGGGTCTGTGAACGGAGCCGGTCATAGAGTTCACAGAGTTCACGACACGGG